AGAGAGGGAAAAAAGAAAAGAGAAGAAGCGTAGGACGCGTTCCCCATCATGGGCATTTCATAAGAAGAGTCGTATTGTGGTATTAATAGTGGCAGGAACCTCTCTCTGCGATCAGGTCAGAAGACCACCAGTCCCCGGATCTCTTCTGTTGCACCCACCCATGGACGCAGTAGTAGTAGCGCATGTATGTCCTGTAGTATAGACAACTCTACTACTGCTGAAATATTGGAGACCACGAATGAATCATACCGACAGGTGGGTCGTGGGTGGGCGGGGGACCCTAAGAAACAGTCAGATGACTCAGCCATTTTACATCCTCACAGTTTCTTGCAAGCAAGAACGAAGGGCGATAACAAAAGAGAGACCGCCCGCAACAGGAAACAAAGAAGAAGTACTACTGTAGAGGAGAGCAGAGCTAAGAAACAAGTGAAGAAACAAGACCCCCTTGCCGTTCTGACCCACTGGAAGCTTTCCATGTACCGCAGCAAACAGCAGGGGCAGCACCCACTACCTCACATGCAGTAGCCGGATACATGCACGGACTGGTACGTAGTATAAGTTTAGTCTCTTTCTCCGGCAAGAACAATAACGCCCGGGCGAACTCGAACTTGTAATTTAGTCACAAAAAATAGCGTCATGATGACGTCATCCATTCTGCTTGCCATGGGAGATGCGCATCGTTACGCGAGGAAGGCGTTAACTCTTCGCATAGAATATGCTGCCGTAGACCCTATATCCCTCAAGCTCAACCACAGCTATACCCGATACATGGTAGCATCATATCCAGCTATAGAAGAATCGAAAAAAAAATTGTTTTCTTGGTGGCGAAGCGGACCCTCTTTATTGTAACTCTCCAACTGCTGTTCGTGGATGGCGACGACATGGCGACACAGACAGACAAAATCTAGGGTTTGACGTCGGTCTTATCCGCCGCAGGAGGTGGAAGCTATACTCAAAGTCGGGGAGGGGTCGTGATTTGCAATTCCCTACGGAACCGTACTTGAGGCGCCATGAGATTTGCACCGCCGTAGCCGAGGTTATATGTCGGCAGGGAAACATACAAACAAAATCTTCGGCGGACCGGACCCTCTTTTTTCAACTGGCCAACTGTTGTTTGGATGGCGAGACAATTTCCGGTCTTCTTGTCCGTCACAGGAGGCCGAAGCCGATGCTCAAACTCGGGGAGGGGTCATGGTTTGCGAGTCCCTACTGAACCACACTCGCTCGGGGCACCACGTCATGGACATGGCATGAAAAGAAAAACATCCCCCCAACGAAAACTGCTGAAATTCATGAATGGGTGGGTGAGTGGGGGGCCCCAAAACAATGAAACAGTCGCAGGGTTCGCGTTGTTCCGGGGCTCTACCGGCGAAAAACACCGTCGACGCTCTGAACCGCTGGAAGCTGTCACACAGCACTGCATGTGCGGCGAACCGTAGGGGCCATGCGCATTTCTTGACGGAAAGAGGCGGCGCCCATTGCCTCACATGCAGCAGCCGGGTACACGGGTAGCCTCCTACTCAGCAAGACGCAAAACGATTGCCGTTGACGTTCGATGTTATTGGGGACCCTAACGGCGAAAATGCAACAGAAAGAGAAAGGCAGACTAAAGGAAGAGAGACTCGAGAAGACAAGGCATGAACTCTCGAGAAGACACCCACTCTCATCCCTCTGGTCCACCGCAGGCTTGAACACGTGCAACGAACGGCGACATCCGATCGATGTGCGCTCAGCAACAACAAACACGACAAAAGAAAAATAGTCGTCGTTTCCGAACTGCTGTGGAGATGTGGAGATACTGTAAGTTGGTGGAGACTTTCTTTCTTCTCTGGTATGAAGTGGCAACAAAGAAGAACACGACTATCTGTCTGTGTAGACTAGAAGCACGACGGACGAACAATTATCTCAATGCGCTTGCCGTCGCGATAGATGCGCACCGCCACCGCCATACGAACGAGCAGACTGTTGTCAAACCTGACAACGATAACCGTACGACCATTGCAGCACATTCCGACCATAACAACAGCAGCAGAAACCGCAGCAGGAGCCGCATGTGCACAATGGTCACTCAAGAACAAACCCAAAAAAAACAAATTGTGGCGCGCAGCACGCAGGACCCTCTTTCGCTGTTCAACCGGCCGTTTCCATGGCGAAACAGGCAAGGAACAGTCAAGGCCGACTCTTGCCGGCCACAGGAGGCGGAAGCTGCTCAAACTCGGGGACGGCTCATGGTTTGCGATTCCACACCGAACCATACTCGAGGCGCCACGAGATGTGCACTGTAGCTCGAGATCAGCATTTTAGACCGGGTCGGGCAGGGGTGGGGCATGCGAATGAAACTTCCACGGATATTGAACGATGAGACTGAAGCTAAAGCTTCAAAATTCCCCAAGCCTTGGACGTGTCGGTGGGCATGGTACAAAAGAATGTGGTGGTGTGTTGACAAGTGGAATGGACGGGGTGCGAGTATAAAGTCCGGGGCCCAGTCATGAACATGGCAAGTAAACACCCCTCCCAACAAAAACTAATGGTGGGCGGGTGGCTGGGGGACCCCAACAAACAAAGCATGAAAAAAGAAAAAAACAAAATCAAAGACAAGTGAGCCAGGCGCGACAGGCTTGAGGGAGGAGGCAAAAAAATAAGCATAGAAAACCCACCGTGGTCGTAGCTCGCTCTGGGCCGCTGGAACATGTCACATAGCACTGCATGTCAAACAGTAGGTAGGGCCCCAAGTCCATTGCTTGACATAAAACAGGTAGCGCACATCGCCTTTCATGCAGCAGCCCGGTGCTCGGGTAGTCTCTTATATTTATTACTCAGCAAGATGCGGAACCACTGCGGTTGACGTAGTTCGATATTGTTGGGACCCCACCGGCGAAAGGCGAGAGAGAGACAGGAAGACTAAAAGAAGAGAGCGGAGAGAAGACAAGGCATTCACTCTCGAGAAGACACTCACTCACTCTCGTCCCTTTGGCCAACCGCAGGCTGTCAGACATCGGTACCGAACGGCGGTATCCGACGTGGGCTCAGCAACAACAAACACAACAACCACAAGTCGCCGAGTTGGAACTAGACTAGAGTATTGCGGACTTTCATCCTTCTGTGACAAAGTGAGAACAAAAAACATGACTACACGGACGAACTAGTCCGTCCGTCCGCGATAGATGTGCACCGTTGCACGGAGCAGCAGACTGTTGGTTGTCATTCCTCACTTTCTGTTGTAAATAAGATTATGCTGCCATCTACCTTATCGCTCAGGTTACGACTGACTGCGCAGCAGACTCAAAAAGCATCAACACCCTTATTCGATGCATTCCACCCATCCATGCATACGCCGCTTAGACTAACACGATGCATACCACCCATCCATGCACATATGCAGCAAGAGAGAAAAAAGGCCTGTTGTTGTCTGTCTCAACTGTTGTGCTGCTGTTGCTTTTCATGTAAAACGACACAACAGGCGACAAAGTAAGCGACGCGCATCGCCTACTACGCGACGCGTGCACCCCAAAGCGACAGACACGATAGCCTTCAACCTTGTCTGAAGCAATTCAGCAACAAACAGCAGCATGGTCACTCAGGAAGAAAAAAAACGAAGTTGTGGCGCGCAGCATGCAGGACCCTCTTTCGCTGTTCAACCGGCCGTTTCCTAGCGAAACAGACAAGGAACAGTCAAGGCCGAGTCGTGTCGGCCACAGGAAGTGGAAGCTGCTGAAACTCGGGGAGGGGTCATGGTTTGCGATTGCCTACCGAACCATACTCGCGGCGCCACGACATTCACACTGCAGCTCGAGATCAGCATTTGAGACCGGGTCGGGCAAGGGGTGGGCTATGCGAATAAAAGTTCCACCCACGGATATTGAAATATGAGACTGAAGCTAAAGCTTCAGAACTGAAAGGTCGTGCGGAAAATGATTCAAACCTGATCGACGAAGGGGAAGCTCCACCATGTTTTAACGGGAACTCCACAGGGGAGCAGGTCGTGTGCGTGAGTGACCCCTCTGGACGCGTCGAGAGCCACATTGCGCATCCAGGACGTATGAATGCACATCGGAGCAACCATATTCGTCCCAACAGAATGGTCCCCTTTCGTCGTGGTGGGAGTGCACAGCTTACCGCCTCCTATCTGCCCATTCCGTTGGGGGCGACGGGCGTGCCCGCCGTCACGAACGCACACACTGGTATATCCTTGTTGCGACACAATCACCCAAGACACATTGCCTGAAGGAGATGCGATGGCCCCGTGACGCATAGGGATATGATGAGCACCATCATCTGAGCGAACACACCCTTTCTCCACGAAGCATTCATTGCCCGTGCCTCTTTACCAACCCAAGGCTGCTACATGTCACCGACGGTCAATTTTCATTACGGGTGACTTCGTTTCAATTGTCAGAGTCAAACGGGCTGGCAAGGGAAGTCGTCGATCCCTCCAACCGTTGGGGGGCTGTAGATTATCCCCCACGCCCGAGCAACGCATTTTGGAATTCCGGGGAACATGCCCAAAGTAGGTTCATGATGAGTAATTCCCGGCTGGCACGACTTGGTGAGTGAGGTGCAGAGCTTATCGACTAAGGGGAGGTTCCACTATCATCGGGAAACCTCCACAGGACAGCAGCTCGTGTGCATGAGCGACGTGTCCGATCGCGAAAAAACTACATGGCACGGGCTGGACATTTGCACATCAAGCCAACCAGATCTTCCAAACAGAGGGGCCCACTTGTCCCGTTGAGAGGGTGCTCAGGCTAATATATTCTCATGCTGCTTATCCATCCACGCCGTCTCTGTCCATCCCGTGGCGGGCGACGGGTGTGCATGCGCTCACCATCAACGGAAGCCCATGGCAAAACAGTGTTTTCGTCGCCATCGATAAGACCCATTGCAAGAAGGAGATGCGATGGCTCCACGACGCATATAAACGCAATTGGCAACAGTGTCAGGGCAAAAGAGATTCTTCTCCAAGGAGCATTCACTGGCCCTTTGCCAGTTTAGCAACACAAGTCCAATGTATGCATTGTCGAAGGCGAGTGGAGAACTTTGCTGTATCCAACATGAGTCGGAAGCGTGTGAGATTCCATTATGAAAGCCAACATGTTCAAGATGGAAATGAACTGAAACTGATCATTCCGCATGCCTCAATGCCGGGAATACATTCATTTAATAAAGGACTATCTCGGGTCAAAGCGAGAGGAGAGCAGTGTCGAAACGGCAGGGGCACAAGGGCATCTACAAGCGGTGGTCGAAAGGCACACATATCGATGGCATCAGTAGGCGCCATACGCCCACCTCAGAAGTCGCATCTCCACTTTCACCAACATCAGCCAACGCCCGGCTTTCCAAGATTTATCGTTCGACGAACTTCCAAAGCAATGGAAGACTCGTCCAGCAACCACGCCAAGTGAGACGCAATCCCTCTTTCTTTCGCAGTGGGGCACAGTCTCACGTCACTGACCCTCGTCCAATCTGTATCTCCTTTTCAGCCGGTCACTCATCTAGCGCGAGGAGGCAGAACCCTCGACGGCGGATGCGTCCGCGTCCTTAGCTTCGACCACCTCAAGAAGGCCTTCGTACGGGGGGAACGACGACACGTCGACGCCAAGCCGAGCCGCCTCTTTACCGAACTCGCGAACGTCAAACCGAAGCTGTCGGGTGCAACATCGCCGGCGGGAAAGCACGCGAAAACGAGGTGGAGCGAAGGGAAATCAAAAGACAGAAACAAGGTCAAACAATCCAGGGAAACCAAGCACATCAACACAATTGGCCATCACACCAGAGGGCTGCTGCTGCGGCTGCTGCTGCTTGCAGTGGGGGAAAGCGAAACCATCGCAGGTTCCTCCGTCGTCAGCTCTACGTTTCTTTGCCCAGCTCTCGATGCGTGAGGCAAGAGAATGTCGTAGTACTGGTAAAGAGCATGCATGAGACCAAATAACCAACTCGGCGTATTCGTACAACGGAAGCGCAGTGGTAGGGAGAACAAATAGCGCTCATACCCTTGCCTACATATCAGCACCAACGAAGTGGCGGAAAACGACGGTATGCCTACCTGCATCATGATCTTGTCCTTGTCGGAGGGCCCCTGGTCTCCCGCGCCGGCTCGGCTTCCCCGTCGCGCGGTGACTCTCCGCTTGTTGAGGGTGTTCTCCATTTGTCGCACCGTCAGCAGAAGCTCCGAGACGATTTCGAGGTACCTGTGCATAGAACGCGGGCAGTTGGCGGCCGACCCGAAATGAGCGAAAGCAGTTCGGGGTTCAATGCGATTGCGAGAGACGCCCAGCGTTTCGGAGCGGGGATTGGCGAGAAACGTGCAGCGGTCACGAGAACGTGAAGTAAGCGCCAGCAAACGAGACAAAGTGCAGCGCTCAATCCTCCTTGTTTGGAGAGGCGAACGACACACCCACGAGGAAGTCTGCCGTTCCAGGGCGTCGGCGTGTAAGCCAGAGAGTGTGATGTAATCACAGGCAATCAAGGTGGGTGCAAGAGACACCGTGGTTTCCAGGCAGAGGCTCTTCGGGGTCCACCAGCGAGGGTCAAGCACATGTAAACGTCCACGGAGTGGGGAACGCCACGCAATCCGCCCCCCCCCCACCGCCATCAAGCGATTCCTCCAGGAGTTGCAGCCAGAGATCACCCGAGCCCACTCAAAAGCACCATTTGCGCAAAACCAAAACCACGAACAGTCTCATAGACCTCAAATAATGAACGATTGCAACCAAAGCATACCAGACTCCACATGAAAGCACACAGCCAACCCTTGACCAAATACGCGCAGGCTACGTTGGGAGTGGGATCCAACAACACCCGACATACCTCGAACAGACGGACATCACAACCCGATCTTTCCATCCTGCCCCTCCTCCTCCTTCCCGCTCGTTGCCCGACGCGCTGGCACCCCACCTCGAGTCGAACTCCCTCAGCGCTCGCAGGACATTGGGTACGAAGGGGGACGGCCGCTGCGGGGGCGGCTTGTTGGTCATGCGGTACGTGGCAGTGATGCCCTTGACAGCCTGACGGAATAGAACACAAAACGAAGAGTCAAAGTGTGTCGATCTGTGTCGAGTCGGGCAGCGGTACACGTCGATCAACCAACAAGTGGTAACACGCCTTTTCCTTTCAAAAGTAATGCGGTGTATGGACACCAACAACTACACCGTACATATGTCCGGGCAGTTGTGTTGCAAAGTTCGAAAAGAAATACTACCTAAAGAGAAAACACATCATGTTGGGCATACGCGCAGCTCGATCTTTCGTTAACACACTACAACACAACGGGGGGCTGAACCACAACGACCTATGGTGGAGTTTCCCGCGTTGGACACGCGTATGCAAGGTGGCACCAACTCTAGCAGAACGCGCCGGTCCTATCTGGGCAACAGCGATCGAAGTTCGCCAATCACAACATCCGCCTTACGCGCAACGTGAACCCCAACAAACTCATCTTACACCGGACGCAACATGGTTGTCACTACAAACGCAAGAAAACGGAGACAACCGACGGCCATCCCACAACGTATCAATTCCCGCCTCTTTCTTGACTGCATCTACTCAAGATTCACCTGTAGGATGGTGTTGCACTGTGCCGCCACCTGTGAAGTCGCCTTCTCCCACAGACTGTCCACGAGTCCTCCCCAGGCCCCGACGGCTTCCATTACCACCTCCCCCACCTACCAAACCGGTACAGCGGCGAACACACGTCCCAGGCGAACCACACGAACAAAACAAGCATACAACCAAAACGGAAAATGGGGGGAATGTGCTGCGGTAATGAAGGGGCCTTTGGCCTGTGCAATAGACATTTCTATTACTTCCCATTCCTCGCCAAATACGCGTCAGACGTTCACGGTCTCAGTGGGGATGAGATGTTTAACCGTACTCAACCTTTTCGCGAATTCAAGAGGCAAATAATGGCAAAATTCGTGAGAAACGGCCTCTCAACCTGCGACATCGAGCCGAATACCGGATCAAAAGCGTTACTTTCTGTCGCGCCTGGTACGAACCCATGCACGTTTCTGGCACAGGCAGTCAGCGAGTACTTGGAAGAACAGAGACACAGAGCGGGGTGAACACAAGACCAATTGCAACCAGAGAATAGCTTGGAAGGGAAGTAATGATGCACGCCATCTATTTACATGTCCCTCTGTTTCGCGCGATCTCTCGCCATCCCCGAGGCCAACTTCACACCCAGCGCTCTAACAGCTTGGCGATCCGGTTGGCGATCCGGGAGAGGGTTCCAGTTTCCGTGAGGTCGGTCACACACTTGTTTAGACACCAGGTCGATCCCAACAACGGTTTCACCCCATCTTGCCGGCATACAAACGCGAAGAAACACACAACCTCGGCAATGACGAAGACGAACCACGCACGCATCCACACTTTCCAACAAGATGACCAGCGCCAACACAAGACAACGTCATCAAACCGAAACAGAGGCAAAAGGAGAGAAGCACTCCCGATCGAAAAGCCAACGACTAAGGTACCCATGCCTCACGCACCAGCTCCTTGGCGTCCTTTTCGGAGAGAGCCCCCTGGCCCGCGCGGTTTCGCTCCCCCGCCGCCGGCGCAGAGATGCGGGCTGCCGCAACCCCCACGAAGTCGCTCCGGAGAGCGCCGAGAAGCCTTCGTTGACCGCACACAGGAGCGCGAGAGGGCGGGCGCACCGGCACCAAAATAGAGAAATCGGGACGGGCGGGACGGGCGGGAGAGATCCTTGTGAGGACTTAGAGGGAGTTTGCTTCACAGCGTCCTCCTCCGGTATCACCATCGGCCCATACCCAGTAGATATCACGCCCTCTGGCTCGGCTCCATGCTGTGTGTTTTTCCTGTGTGGATGAGATAATTTTTCTAGGGGGCCGATCATGAAAGCAGGCTCACAAAAACTTCACAGCAAATCCGTGACACACAAAAAAAAAACGGCAGGGGGCGACGACGGTGAGAGGTGCGCCGTCGACTAACGCAGCCTTATGCCCACAGAAACAACTGGAGCCGAGGACGCCGAGAAAACACCCTCTGGGTTCAGTAAAAGAGCCGTTACAAACCACTTGGACCGGCCGCCCAGGAGAAAGGTTAAAACACTACCTGTACATAGTTGCTTGCGGCAGCGGGCTCGAGCCGTCCCCCCCCCCTCGACTCACTTGCTGAGGTCTGCAGCCACCGGCACGATGTCGTCCGGGTGGAGAGATAGAACCTCCTTCGATCCCGCCCAGGCACCGACGCGCCCGATGCCCTGCAGGGACAGCCTGAGGAAGCGGTGCGAGAGGCCACGGCAGAAATACCTGCGAACAAACAGCGCAAGGCACAAGTTGGGCGAGGGGGGCGGGGGGGGGGGGGCACAAACCAGACAAAAGCCGAGCACCGGACAAGACAACGATAAAAAAAGAAAGTGATCGAGAAAATGCTCAAAATTTCGTTGAATACACTACACAGGCAGTGTCGATGGATCCATCCGTTTGGCACGAGGGGTCTTCAAAGGTCCCACTTTTCTTCAAGGCAAGGATCCTTGATATGCGTACGCGCGTGGAACATGTGTCCTCAATGTATCCCACCGTAGAAAACGACCGCATCGCTAAAAACGGCGCGAAAGGGAGCTTGCTGGGGGTGGTTACCGGGGTTGACCAGGCCGTAGTCGAGAACATACGAGATCTTCACCTCAGCGGTGGGTGATATCAAAACTCAGGAAAACGCCGTCGACACAGTACCGTGGCATTATTCAGGTGGCCGAACACCGACCTCATTACTCCAGCACAGGCTCAGGCAGCGCCACGCCTCGCGGAACACGCCGAGCTCGAACGCCGGTCCATCGAAAGCCAGCAAAGCCTCCTCGTGCTCCTCTTGCACCCCAGCTTCTGCAGCAGCCGCCCCCTCGCCGCCGACACCAGCGCTGCCGGTGCTGTGGCTGCTGCCACTCCTTGAGCGAGCCGCCGCCTTCAGGCTCGCCTCCAGCCGTGAAGAAATTTCTCGAGACCTTCGGAATGCGAAAGCGCGTGTATAGCAAACACAAAACAACAGGCAGGGGGTAGTCGTTATCCTGCAATGCTGTCCGCCGTGGGTTAATTCCGCCGTGGGTTAATTCGGCTGAGGACTGCTACCCCCCCCTCTTTCTCTCCTCTGTCCCCCGCTTGGCGGACATTACCTGGGTTTCCCTCTCTCTCTTCGAGTGTATCCACCCAATCAACAGACCAGAACACACGAAGCACGTTGTCACACACCGGCCTCGTCACGGGGTGGAACTTCAACAAAGGCGATTCAGCATTCATTGCCTTCTCCCCCCGCAGCAATTCCACAAGGAGGTCCGCACAGAGCCCGGGAGGGAGTCGATTCACCGGCATCGTCCTACGGGCACGATTTGACTCCTCCTCGGACCCGGTACACAGCATTTCCAGAAAGTGGTGACAAACAGTCGATGGACGCGCCCCGGGGGCTGAAGAAGCCAGCACCCAGGACCCTTCTCGTGACGCGGGCGTACTCCTGTTTGGCATGCCTTACCTGATAGACCATTTGGCCACGTGTCTTCGAGCATTGTTTCCACAGGACCGATCATCGATGGCCAATCGTCCCTTTCACCTTTGCCCAAGGTGGCTCAAAACATTTTCCCTGTCCTCTCTATCTCGGAGAGGGGGGGGGTCAATCATTGCACATGAACAAGCCTTGCCTTAGCTGGAAGTAGATTGGGAGGTTCCAGCGTGCCTTGAACTCCGCCACCGACGGCTGTCCTAGAAGCCTGTGCCGGATACGGGGACGCTTCTCGCCGCCCGCGATGGCGGCCAGCCCCTCCAGGAACTCCATGCACAACACGAAGTTCGAGTGTTGGGCCGCCACCATGCCGGTGGCGAAGATGGAAGACAGCCGCGTCATGAGGACCTGCAGGTGGTTGCAAACGTGTTTCGGCGGAGCGAAGACCACAATCAACAGACGAACCGGTTGTTGGAGACACCCCGCAAAAAAAGGGGAGGTGATGTGGATCAAAAAGAAGAAACAACCACCCTAATTGGATGTTCATGTCTCGTGCATCTCAAGTGGGAGGATGTACTCACTTTGCGTCATGCTGCATGGGAGGGCAAAGAGAGAAACAGGAGTTCGCACATCGGAGCGCAGGTTCGGAACTGTCGTCTTGGGGGAGGTGCGGAGAGACACGGGGTGAACAATACGCCGTGGGTAGGGTTCACGACAGCTGCCTTACCTTCTAACCCCCATTTGTGCGAACCACACACGCAAAATACCAAGCAAGCCTACGCACTTATTCCTTGCGTGAACAAAAATCGTGGGTACTGTTGGATGAGGCTGGTGTACGCCGACAGGCTTTCTGAAAGTAGGGTTGGGGATAAGGTTAACGCTAACGTTGACTCCTGTTCATGTTGACGCTTGCTCCTGCTAAAAAAAGTAGAGGTTGAAAAGGCTAAAAAAAAAAAACACCCCCAAGTGAGTATTTGAACGGGTTCATTTCGGAGACGATATGCGGAAGCAGCAAAATCAACTGGTCTTCGCAAACGGAGGGCTGAGCGGAAGCAAAGCACGACTGATCCGTCAAGACGCCATCGTCACGAGAGAAGGGGCTTGCATGTATCTGCGAAGCACGGCAGCGCCTGCAACAACTGCAACAGCAGCAGTACTACTACAAAAAAGAGGAAAACAAACCACGAACGAGGGCCCGAACCTGTTGGACCGGCCGCCAAACCCCGTTGCACACTAAGTCCACGGGGAGCGGAGCCATGGCATCCACCTCCTTCACGGTCCCCGTCTTTGCCCCGTCCTCCTCTTTCTCATCCTTCTCCCCAAGAGGAGAGCCTTCGAGGTCGAGACCGGCGGGAGAGGCGAACATGTCCTCCGCAGCCTCCACCGCATCTCCGGCCACCTGAACGCCCCCCGGAAGCGTTGTTGCCGTTTACTGCTGTAGAGATTGGGCTGGCGTATTTGTTTTCCCTTTTCGGGTAATTGTCGGCAACCGCAGTCGATGTCCAACACAATAAAAACCGCACACACGCACATGACGCCTCCTCGCGGGATCCAAAATCACGGTAGAATTTTGAAGCCTTTTGAGTTTTCAACCGCGCTGAGACTGACGCATTTTCATTTATTGGCCAGTTAGCGCAGTCGATGCTAAAAAAACACACACACACGCACGAAAGAACGAGCGTATTGTGAACGCGGTCCACGCCAACAACACCAAAAACCACGCACCGACACTTGCATGCCCCCCCCCCCCCCCTCTCTCTGCCTTCCGTTGTCTCGCTACCACAGACGTCAACAACCGCCGGCCAGCCGAGTAGTGTCGTCGATGCCAGTATAGCGAAAAAAACACATCCACCCAATCCACACCTCTTTCACGTATGCCAGAAGCTCGTTCAGCAGGGGCCCCAGCCCCTTGCTCGAGCCTCTCTCGCTCCCGTCCACAATGCCCGGGGTAAACCTCGCCTCGAGAAACGGCTGCATTACGGCCCTGAACAAACATCACGTCGGGATACAAGAAAATGTTGGACCCACCATGATGGGGGGCACCAGGACACGTTCAGTGACAAACGAACTCCCGAGGAGTGACGCTAATGAAAGGAATTATGACATCGAGCTACGCGGGCTTCGCCTCGAGAGGGCAGTTGTGACATCGCACTCACACCTCCGTTTGGGTTTTGACGGAAGGGGGAAGGGAGACGGAGAGGAACGAGGAGACGGGGCAAAGGGCGACTTGCTGTTCAGTGCAACGAAAAAAAATCGAAGACGTTCACACCGAAGAAAAATGTATCAAAAAATCCATTTGCATGCAGCACCTGGATAGTTCTTGCACGTATGCATAGTATTCGGGGAGTTTTTGTATCCGCATCCCAATGTGTTGCCCTGGGCGTTGGTGTTGTATATTGTGATACAACCGTAGAAAAAAAACGTAAACAAACAGCCTCCCACCCCTGGAGGGGGCAGGCACACCCCCGACGGGCAACACAGAAGCACAGCAAGCAAACAGCCTCCCAGTCTCACACAAGAGTCTCGCGATTCCCTCGCCATGACACAGGACGCCTGCACAGACAGGAAGTTCTCGCCGACTACCGTACACACCCCGCTCCAGGAAAACCAAATGCCACCCGGAAAGTGCCACACTTGGGATAGCACGCCAAGATCAGGCCCACTGCCAGTAAGCGACCAACCCCTTCACAAGAGTCTTGCGAGGAGGCCGACCCCCACGCCGCCCCAACAAAAACCGACCCACTCCCCTCTCGCACCTCGCAAACTGCTTCTCCGCCTCGATGCCGCTGCCGAGAGCAGAGAACGGCCTCAGGCAGCTCAGCAGCGCCTGCCTCCTGCTCTCTCTCGCGCCGCCGTCGCCGCCGCCGCTGCCCAGCCCTCCCCTCGCCGGACCACCGCCGGCTTTGTTCCCCGCGGAAGCCCCGTCGCCCGCAGCAGGAGTGGACGGCCACGGGTGCCGAGGCTTGAGCAGGGAGGCGAACTCCGACCGCAGGCGGCGGGTGATCTCGGCTTCCACGCGAGAGGCCCTGGAGGACATGCCTCGCAAGAGCGACGTGGCGTCGGCGTCGCCCGCACCGTTAGCTTCGTCCTCGGCGGCAGCCTACCGATGGCGCGCGCGCGCGCGGGGGGGGGGGGGGTCTCATGATTCGCATGCCTTAGCGGTTAGACCATTGACCACGCGTCCTCTGGACAGGACGGAGCTTTGTTCCCACCCACAGGACCGATCGTCGATGGGCAATCGTCAGGCAATGTACAAGGGCGTAGTTACGGTGTGAATTGTTTCGGCCAAAGAGAGCCTCAACGTTGCCATGCTTCTCATGTACATGCGTAATCACTAAATTACGACCACAATCACCAACAGCCCCACCTGCAGGTCGGCGTTCATCATCAGGGCGTAATGCGCCGCGCGCTCGAGCAGAGCGCACTCCTCCTGGGCGCAAGAGGCCGCCGCCCTCAACTCTTCCTCCTCCTCTCTAGCCTTGTCGCCCTCGACGCCACCACCGGAAGCCGCCCCCGGCACGCTTGCGGCAGAAAGCACGGCCTTGTCGGAGGTGGCGAGAGCGAGACCTCCAGAAAAAGCGGCCAGAAGGTCGGGATCGTCGAAGCCCTGGTGCATGCGCCGGCGCACAAAGATAATGTAAATGTACCGTTCGAATTGCAAGAGAGTGGAGAGGGTTCGGCACATGTTCTTGGGTTAGTTACTTGTATTCCAGACAAGACGCCGAGGAATAGTGGCACCTATTTATTGTAGCACAGAGAGAAGTTGACAACCAGTGGTGGCCACGCTAAGCGTTTGAGTGCCAACGCCGGACTGCGAGACAGGTGCGATGGTGTTCAGCGCGGAAAGGAATCGGCTGCAAGTGTGCATCTCCACCCAACGAAGCAAACCCATGTTCACAACGAACGCCAATACCACAAACGAGCGAAATACACCCACGACACGACTCGACGTAATGAAATGGATGCGCTTAAGCACGTGGAGCAATCCGCAAACAACACACGCGCTTCTTGGAATATCATGCACGCGATGAACCACGCACCTCGTCGTCTTCATCGACATCCCAGCACGCCCGCCCTCTCGCCCCCTCCCCAACGCCACCAGAACCTCCGCCGGTGCCCCCCTCGCCCCCGCCGCCTGCGGTATCCAGGTCATCCTCCAGGCGGTCAGCACCCCTATCCCCTATTTCGAGGACGCCTTCGGCGGTGTCCAACGTCGACATGAATCTGAACCCCCCAAGATTGATGTTTGGGGCGGAACATGCGGATGAATTGTGAACAATGTGTTTGCGGAGGTGTAACGTTAACTGCAGACGTGAAAACGACGGGGGGGGGGACGACTATGAAGACGGAAGCGACAGAAACCACAACATCGACGCGAACAACGTCAAAACCGACGGACGCAGCATCGGCCACGAACGCCCAACAGCTGCACAAACAACACCCTCACAAGGACGACAGCAACAGCAACAGCAGCAACAACAACGCGACAGACGCCACCAGAGTTGTGACCCGGGTTGACGCTCAAGAAGACGGCAGCAGAACGCGAACACGTTTCTGACGGCAGAGGGACGCAGACAACAACGACAGCATGTCGAGCGCTGTTGTGCCGCGATGAGGCACACCATCATCACCTCAGAAACCGCTGAACCGAGTTCTTCCTCTCTCGCACTACTCTGCGCTCCTCTAGCTTGGCCTCCAGCCTGGACGCCTCTTCCTCCGCCGACACCCGCAACCCGGATGCTCGCGCCAATAGCCTTTGCGTTTACGCCAGAATATGGGTAACGAGGCCCGCAAAACGAAAAGCGGCATGCACGGTGGGTGTGAGGCGGTGCAGTCGGTCGCAAAAAGAAAACTAGCAGCATTCGCGTGGGGAGCCAAGTACGCAAGAAGGCGAAGGGGGCACGTTTTCGGAAACGAACGGCCATAGCAGAGAGAGACAGAGAGAGACAAAGAGAGAGACAAAGATAGACAAAAGAGAGAGAGGGAGAGAGACAGAGACAGAGACAGACAGACAGACAGACAGACAGACAGACAGACAGACAGACAGACAGACAGACAGACAGACAGACAGACAGACAGACAGACAGAAAGAGACAGACAGAGAGACAGACAGAGACAGACAGAATCAAGAGATAAAAACACGCGCTCACCTGGCCATGGGCTCTCTGAGGTGTGAAACCTTGCTCCCGACGCCGCTGAGCTTGGTCGACACCAGGATGAAGTCCGCGTAGTCGCGGTTGATGAGGTCATACAACTCCTGTTCGTGCCGGGTTACCACCGGTCAGTCAGCCGATGAGCAAGATCGATGCAAACGAAAGAAACGCACGCATGCACGCACGCACCGCGTCAGCCCAACGCCCCCTACACGCCTCGTCTTCACTGCCCGCATCCCTTTCGCCCACGTGCTTACCCCACCCGCGTGGGAACCACACACAGAATCCATCACCATGACAGTGCCATCGAGTGAAGACCCTGAGGCTAGAGAAAAATCGACACTTCTAACAACATGCCCAAAGGAGCGGGTGCTCAGATATGAGTCTCGTCTGAAAACCCATTTTGGAGCTGCTGGATACCCCCCCAGGGTAGCTCAATAACACATTCTGAAGTACGCTGGTGCGGTGTCAACTACTCCAGTACCCAACAGTCCACAACCGCCTCCCCCCCCCCTCACCGTCCTTTAACACAAGGAGCGGTTTCTAGAAGCCCATCAAAACGTAGTTGGAACTATTATAGAGCATGTACCATGTAATGTTACTCCGCCATTTCTCAGATGGGTATTGTTTTTGAAATATTCTGGGTGACTACGTCATCTCGAACCTCGCAAGTGCGTGTACGTTTCTTTCGAGCGTTCAGCGGCGCACACACCTGCTTGCGGTCCGCCAAGTGCTCCTGAAGGTCATCCCTCAGCCTCTCCAGGGGCACCAAGGAACGAGTGCTCGCCACGAACGCCGACGGATCGAACTGCTGGCGGCCAGGTCCAAACGAAACGAGAAAAGATAATGTTTTTGTTGTTGTTGTTGCTGCTGCTGTTGTTGGCATTGCCGTCTTTCAGACAAGATACCATGCAAACAGCAACCCCGCTTCTAGTATAGAAGTAGATGGCAAGGGAACAATTTTTCTGGCCACTGCTCCAAGTTACGAGCGACAAGGGCTGTGCGCTGCATGTGGTACATATACGAACTACCCTGGGGGGCCATTGTTTCGAGCCAATCTCTGGGTGACCACGGATTGGAGCTGCTACAATACCCGGCAGAAAGCGATGTGAGCGCTAATTTGCAGGTGATGACAACAAACAACACTCAACGGGGCGTCAAGCGGAGAGGAAGGCAACGGACGGACCTAATACGTTTTTACCCCGGTTGCTTCGTCACACATGTATGTATCAATACCGAAAGCTGCAGGCTGACGCCTGAACAGAACAGATGAGACGAAACCACGCAAGCGATACTATGCAAACCCAAGAGGAGAGCCATGAGCGAGCCATCGGGTGTTCCGGATCTATTATCGATGCCAGCCGCGGTGGGGTTACGCCGCATTTTTTAAACACTCTTCCCAAGTGGTCTACGGGGGCAGGAGTACAAGGGGTGGGTTCTGGTAGGGATAGGTTCAACGCACCCTAGACCACGCGAACAGAATCACATTCATTCGTCGAGGGAACGACGACGGCGTGTCCACTCCTGCTATGAGCCGGGGGAGACGGAAGGACACAAGATGTGCGGAGGTGCGGGTCCAACCAGTCACTGCTGTGTGTTGATACTGCTGTACTACGCACATCGTGTTGTGCACATGTACTGCAGGATCTACCGCGCCAACAGTGTATGCGTGTGCGCGTCTGCCTTTTCTCTTTGCAATATCCCATGCATGCCCAATCCCCCCACCAAACCAGGAGCAACCATGACCACGGCACCTGTGCATCGTCGAACACCTCGACGGCGAAGCAGCAGGCGTGCTTGCTCCGGCCCTCCTGCATTGGCAGCAGCGGCGAATTCCTCCGCAGGACCCTCTCTCTCTGTCTCTCTCTCTCTCTTGTGCTGGAGGGAGAACGTTCCCAGGAAAGGGGCAAGCATCCGAGCATGGGGGAGCAAGGCCGTGCTGAAACTGGTACCAGTTGTGCACAGGCAACAGAGGTTCCGAAGTAAGCCACGCCGCTGCCTATGGCCCATGCAAGAGGCAGCTCTGCCGGACGTACCCTTGTTCCCTCAAACCAGAAAACATATGTGTGCACTGCTGTACACACGTTGCTTCTCCGCACGCCTCCAAACAGATTCGGGTCCACGAGGAGAAAACTCATGGCACTTTTGGCCGCACCACAGCAGTACATCGATGCCCATGTGCTACAAGGCCGTGTCTCTACGGCGCACTTGTTGCATTCTGCACGGGTGTAAGATGTTCCAAAGGCCGTGTCGCACCTGTCAAACTTGGAGTACTCAAGAAGCCTGGCGAGTGTCGAAAAACTTCCCGTGGGTGTTGGCGACAGCCAGGCGCGCCCTTACGCCCTCTCTCTTCCTCTCGTGCACGCACTAGTCAAGGCACGAAGTGCCAGACATGCAGAGCAGCGCGGAGCAGGACACAGAGGAGCACAGGGAGACACAGAGGACGGAGCAGAGCGGTGGGGGGTGCATATAAATAATCGGCTGATTCAGTACGATCCACAGGCCCCCTTGCACATCCGCACAAAGTCCGCATTGATCCGCACATCCGCAATCTGCACAAACAAGATCTACTACACGCAATCTGCACAAGATCTACTACACTGTACTGACAGGCATCAGTACCAAGTAGCTGTACGCAGTGAGTAAATAGGTGGCGAGGTGTGCGCTCCCTTCCCTAAGAAGAAACATGACATATATCAGCCCGCTCTCGTTTTACGGCGGTGTATGTGGTCGCTGCACTACTACTTCTCTCCGCGATTCATGGGCGGCATATAGTCTACGCCGCCACGCTGAGAGAAGGGAGTCCCAAGATTAATGATATATATACTCGGCGGTGGAATTGTTTGAAAAAAGGGACGTCGAAGTACAAAGAAAGTACATGACAAATAGTCTACTCTGTAAATGCGCCCAATGGCTGTTCCAAGGGCGCTCGACTCGACCCTTCAGAAAACAATTTTAGCCAGCAGTCTTAACCCACTCCTTCTTGCGGCCAGTCGCAACCCAGTGCAACCCCCCCGACAATCTTCAGGGATTAATACTGCATGGTGTACAGTAAGATCATCCGTCGTTCAACCACCGACGACACCCTTCTTCACCACTTGGACGAAGCGGTACACAGACTTAGAGGACTATGCACCGAACCAACAAGAAAAAAAAGCCTACTCCCTCTGATCGGAAATATAGGATCGATTAGGACGTTGGGCGAAGTTTCTCCCTAGGACGTGGAGACCAGAAGTCTTAGTCAGGAGTTCGATTCCCGCTTAGAACACCTTTTTTTTCCCGAAAAATCTATTATTTTGTTTTTTCCAAAAACGTGTTTCCTCCATTCGTTTTTGCCTCTCGAAGTGTCCCATTTTTGCCACCCTAACGCTTTTCTTCCGGTCAACACCAAAGACAAAGTACGAACAAGTGAAAATGGCGCTCTACGGATAGCTGAAGTACTCGAGATTGCAAAGAAAAATATATATCGGGAAAACAACTTTTTTGGGGGCCGTACGGGAAAAAAAACGACACACTCGGTTCCTTACTAACAACAATGTTCGATTGAGATTTTACTGCCGGAGCAAATTTTCGGCAGGGAGGGGATGAAACATGGCCATCCACCTTTTTTTTTTCCTGAAGCATCGCCTATCCTACCCGACCATAATGCAAAAAAAGAATTAAAGAAAAGGAACATCCTACATAGCCCTCTAAACTGCAAACCGTTCTTATATTCCGAATATCCCAACCGATCTTAAATTTATTTCCGATCAGAGGGAGTACTTTTTATGACACCCCGACACGCCTTGATCTCAATGTATATACTTTACCTCTACATATATCTCTAAATATATAATCTTTTCCCTTAAATATATAATCTTTTTGCTGCGTCTAAGCGTAAAGTTTCCTGCCACAGGCTACGACTTACTGCAGATGCATAGGTTCAAAAAAGCTTTGTACAGGCAGGAATCAAACACTCGCCTACTACTACGTAGTAGCTGGCCAGCATGTTCTTGCCAATGGCAGTAATTCCCAGGAAAAAAAAGTCGATAAGATTGGATACGAGATGATTATTTCCATGGGCCAACCGCATACATACCCGTCATCAGACAAGCTGCGTGGAAATTTCAACCTGCAGTATGGTCCGTAGTGAAAGAGCAGGAGGAGTTGCGGGCTCGATTTCGTAATACTTTGCAGAGAACAAAACTATATGAAGAAGTACATTCGCCCGAGGTTGCCCCGACGCGTTTCGGTTGAAGGCCTCATGGCGCCACCGAGGGGAAACTGGGCAATGAACACGACAGTCCCATAGAAAGACGTTTGAGGTGTCGGTGCGTGCACTGGGTTATCACGCTCGCGGGCTGTTGTCGAGAGCGTCTGTGCGCACAGAAGGAGTAGCTCGAGTGAAAGACAGGGGTGAGGCGGAGACTCGCGCGCCAAGTCCATCACACCAACCAAAATATCCCTAACCCCCACTTCTTCTCCAGGTCACCCCTTGGCTGTCTGTGCGGCACCAACATCTCAAACGCCGCCATGTAGCGATAGGCATGGACAGGTTCAGGGTGCCGGGGCTGCTGGTGAACACGTCGCCGCTGACAGAGATTCTGTCAGCCGGAAGCGGGAGCGGTCGGGACCCGTCCGCCGGGATGAGGTTACTGGCGGAGTCCCTCAGCCGACCGGGCTTCGGAATGCGCCCGCTTCAGGCAAAAAGTGAAACAGAACTTGTACATTATGTCGTTTGGGCTCCCGTTCCCTGCGTTTTGAGTACATAGCGAACATCTACAGAGTGCTACGCAGTCAGCACTGTGTGTATAGATCTCCCCTCCGCCGGGTGTAGATGTGGTACGTGTGTGGCTTGAGTGAGGCAATCGTTTGTTCTCGGTCCCTGCTATTTAATATCGTTCGCCTAAAGTACATACGCCGTCCTTCAGCAATGACTTCTGAACGCGAGATAGATGTGGTACGTAGTCTATATGTCTGGCGGCGTGCACGCCGCTGCGGTTGCCCCATTATCGTGAGTTTCGCTCCTTTCAGGTGCTGGCATGAGACCATCAGGCGTGTGCTCTGCTGTTGAGCAAAGCATTGTCCCTCTACAATTGACCAGAATGCCGTCCCAGTTTGAGCCAGATCGTTGTCTCGGCACGAAGGATGCAAAGGGTTGCCCCTGCGACAGGGTTACAGGAGAGAGCAGAGCTCACAAAGTTGGAGAATGTATGCCAACTTTACCGGAAATAATCAGATACTTGTTTTGTCAGAGAGTAAACAATGTGGATGGGGCACCGTAATGGAGCGTGACAAGTTTCGCAAGGGTAGTGAAAACAAACGTGATAAGAAGAAGGAGCAACAAAATGGTGGCCACCAGCATGATAATACAAAGGGAGGATGTGCAAAACAAAGCGAGATTTTCCCACGTAAGAAGTGCCCCCCGACGACTGTCGGCGGTGCTAGAAACGATGCATCCGTGTCGATTCCAAAGGAATGCGCGGTCGAGAGGGTGACTTCACTAAGTAAGGGAAGCAACAACTTGCGTATCCCCCCGTCCGCCCGTCACGCCCCCTAGCGCGTGCACGTCGTGCGTGCACCAACCATCCGACAGGCGTAGAGCTGGCGTCGTGCAGCCTCAGGCTGTACCGGAGTTCCTTGTTTATCGTGCGACGATATCGGGGTGGGAGGAGCACGCAACCATAGCACGCCGTGCCCCGACCCCTCATCATGTTCTCGGTTACTCCCCAAATGAAACCTCCAAAACACGCGCCCCACGAATGAAACAGAACCAGCGACGGTTGTGGAATCTGTTCTGGCGTGCGAGCGGGAGCATCAGGCGCAACAGCGTGGTGTTGGCCGAGGGGGGGTCCTGCTTCAAGGGCCTGGCAGAGAGGGTGAAGGCCGAGATAGAGCAGAGCCTCGACGCCCCGTCCCAGGGTGGAGAGTCAAAGTCCTCGCCGCCGGCAACAACGAGCGAAAGTGAGGAGGACATGTTGTAGCGCTTGCCTCGCGTCCCGACGTGGGGCGGGTTTCTCGGTGGCTCATCTGGTGGTGGTAGTTGCAGTAGCCGTTTTTCGTCCAGAGTGATCCGGTTGTGTTTGATTGAGGGTGTGGACGGTGTCTGTTTCGTTGTGTTCTACTGTGCCTGCTCTGGTGTGACGAAAACATGGATGAGCAGACAAATTTCAAACCTGTTCTTCCACCACGTTTTGCCATATTCTGCCGCGTTTCACTGGTTCCGTCAATTTCCGTCTTACTGTTGTGGCGTGCCCCAGTCAGCTGTAGCTTCATGTACAGCGATGGCAGTGCTTTCAGTCTTCATTTTCAATTGAGGCAAACAACAAATTCTTGCGATTTGCTTACGTAGTGATCGGCATGGGGAGGTCGCTTGCACCCAGCAGGTGCCACGGAGCTGCCTCCCTCCAATTTCAACAACTGAAAAGGGAATTCAAAAAGTGAACAGCAGTAGGCATT